CCTCTGCGTGCGTCAAGAAGAGGGAAACTTCGATCCGGCACTCTTCCGGCAGTCTGGAACCGAGCCTTGCTCAGTTCGCGGGTGGACGAATGAGCTCCTTGATGGCGGCTGGTTTGAACGCGCCATCTAGCTACAATCCTCTGAATATGGTGTTATTGGGGGTCTTCGCGTGCAAAGAAGTGACTGAGATGTGGGCAGGGCAGATGCCAGATCTGGAGTGCACTATTCTGAGTTGTTGTGAAGTGGTGTGCTATCAACGTTCAAACGTCGTTCAAACCTCGTGTTCACAAGGAGTGCAACACAGCTGCATCACCAGGAGAAGCAGCATAGAATCTGTGAGGCATCTGTGAGGCATAGCGCGATGCCCAAGAATAGAACTTGCCGTGCATTCTGTACCTTGTGGACCTGCATTAGAAGTGTTCCATGCAGGTGTACCTGACTGGCCAAGCAGTGTTAAGGCTGTTTCGAAACGGCCAAGACTACCGCCATGTGTTTTCAAGAGGGCCAAGATGCCCGGTTATGACGACTACGAGGAACGAAAATAGTGATGATGATGCTAGGATAAGCCAAAAGGGACCGTCTCGCATAGAAAGCTCTATCTTCAGACGTCGTATAGGCAGGCAACGACGAGATAGGATCGATACTTGACGCCATCAACGACCGTAACGAACATTCCACGGCGGTGCAGTGGGCCAGGCGGAAGACCACCGTATTTGCCAATATCTGCCAGGTGCGGTGCCTGTGGTTGCATGTTGAGACGATCATATGGCTTGTTGGCCTTCTCCCTTGATGTGAACACCGAACACAGAGCACTCAGCCTTGCAGGCCAAGTTTCGAGGCCTGCCTGAGGCTGGAATTCCCATTGGATGATAGGAGAGGGAAATGGGACAAGGAGAGCTCGCGTGGCCAGAAATGAGCCAATTGCCATGTTTGTCTGACTCTGATTCACGCATGCAGATTGGTTTCCGAACTGTCGGGTCGGCCCTTGGGTGCATTGTGTAGAGTGGAGGGAGAGTGGGAAGGATGAAGGAACGAGAGAGGAGGGCAAGGACAAGCGAGAGGGGGGGAGGACCAGTCTGGAATAGACAAGTCGTAGCGAGGTGCTAGTGAGGTTCAACAGAAAGTGGGCAGTGGTGCCGAGACACCCTGCTGAGCCACAGCAATACTTACGCCTACTTGACGGTTGTCGATAAGGCGGCCGCTAGTGACTGTGGTCCTTGACCAGGTGACAGTGCCTGTTTGTTGCGCTTCAGTTATCTGTTTCTGTCCCTCCCGAGTCACTTACGCGTGGGGTTTGGAGTGTGGCTTGTGCCCTCCCTCCCCCAGTCTTCAGCTTTTCTATCCTGTGTCCTTCATCTCCTCGGCAAGCCATTTCTCGCAGAATATGGTGCTCGTTGGTTGAGAATGACCGGTCTCTAGTAAGTAGTCTTGAGAGGCGTGGGCTTGCCGTCGATAGATTTGTCGTCAAGAGTGGAAATCGTGCCATCATGCCATTCCGTAAGCACAAGGCCTGGCAGGGATTGCACAGTCCAGCTGTCAGACTTGCTCTTATTGCCTGTCAGACCTGGGGAGAAGTCAAGGGATCCCAGTGACGCATGCTTGAAGCAAGGACCGAACTGTGAAAGAAACGGTGGAAATTCGTTGGGTGTGGGATATCAGTCTCGACTTCAAGGTCTGATACAACCGGTGATACAACCGGAGATACCCAAAGCCTGATTGACCGTGGAAGAAATTAGACAATGAACTGCCCCCAAAACGCAGGGCCAGAGCCAGACCGGAAATGGCCAAATTTATCGATCATGTTGAACTACGATCCGACTGCACCTCCACGAGATTGTGGATCGCCCATCATCTTCTTCAAAAACTGATCGGAGGTCGGGCCGGGTCCAGTGTCCGACTGTCGTTGGCATGTCCGCCGAGTCCCTATCGAGACGAAAATTTCCGATGTTGATCATCAATGAACGAAAAGGAAACCGGTGACTGCACCTTCATCCGTACCTTACTTAGCGTCAAGCCTTGCCCTGCTGTCCCCCAAGGGTGTCTCGGGACCGGGAACCGTAGTGTCAAGGACAGTGGGCGATACCCTATCGTTCAACTGCCTGTCTGCCTGCCTGCCGAGAGAGTAACCGCGAATATCTCTCCAGTCCCTGAACAGCGCTGAAATGCCAACGAGACCAGTGACAGCCACCGTGAGAGCACAAGATGCGGGGGAGGCTGAGCTCTTCCGTCCGGCACACGTGTTTCTGTCCTACCCCGTCTGTGATAGGTGCAAGTTATCATAGTTATGCCGCGAAGGGAGGGGATAGGCAAGAAAGTATAAAAACTGTTATTCTTTTCTTGTCCTGGTGACTCGCTATCCCGTCCGAGATTGGTCTGTTTAATCACCGTTAACGTAAACGTAAACGTGGGGGGGAAGGCAAAAGGGCCAGCCAACGGTGTAAGGCAGAGACTGTTTGGCCAATCACATGTGAACACTTATTGATTCCGGTCGAGTTGAACAGTTTCTTATTCGACTCCATGACCACCTTGTCAGCGTCGGTTTGTTGCGCGGATAGTCGTACACTGTCCTCCATGTTGAGACGTTGATATTGAAGGTATCTTGGCCTTCTGTATGTCTGACTTTTAGCTCTTCCACCCCCATGTTTCGTTTCGTTTCGTTTCGTTTCGTTTCGTTTCGTTTCGTTTCGTTTCGTTTCGTTTCGTTTCGTTTCGTTTCGTTTAGGTAGGTAGTTGTTGCTTGGGGGCTGGCTAGTTCGCGACCAATACGGCTTCTGGATGGTGTAGCACTGCGTCTTCGCTTGCTTTCTGCCCTAAAGCCAGCACATACGAAAAGATGGGATAATGGAGATCTCGGGTAGATCCCAAATCTCCAGTCTGACGCACTGAGACGCTGTATGTTTAGTTATCTCGATTGTGTGTCCCTCTCCCGATGAACTGCCCGATGGCCCAGTCTCTGAAGCCGAAACATGTTCGTTCCCCTTCCGACATTTCCACTGCTTTTGTCTGGCTGGGATAGCTAACCGGCAGCAGCCAGCAGCTGCAGCAGCAGGAGAGCCAGCTTCGTAAGTGGTGAAACACGCCTTACTCCTCCCTGTCTCTGTCGTCCATCCTCTACCGTGATCCGTGATCCGCTCCGAGACTGCAGAGGAGACGAGATTGCGAGACAATCTGCACCCGAGAACCGTCGGTTTGGGCCGAGAAGAGGAGGTTCGTGAGGAGAGTAGCGAATCGTCCCTGTGGTCCACTCCTGTCGTTAGTTCGAGGGGACTGAGAGGGACAAGTACTCGGTACTTACGGGCCTTAAGGACACACCCCTCCCTTGCTTTATCCGTAGCTGTGCACTGGGTACCTTGCCAATCGCTGCCAGACTGCCCAATGACGCTATACGGAGTGGACGACGACACCTCTTGGGGCCTGATCTTTTTCAGGATGCTGAGCCGGCATTCCAACTTCAACATTCTGACTGTGGCTTCGTCTACTCCACAATTTAAAACGCTTTACCCTTTTGAGCTTATCAGAAGCAGCCAAGACGGTCCGGTTCTTAGCGAGTAGAGTGTGGTGTAGCTGAAATATCGTCGGAATACTCCGTCTTTATACCTCGCCAAGGCGCTAATCATCAACCAATTAGAAGGCCTAAATTCAGGGAAGTTGAGCGTTAGAATAAGAAAATTGAAATACTCGTCGGTTAGGTGCACGCATTGGCCACCCTCTGGGGGCCAGCCATGTGGGGCCTCCCTTTGGGGGCCGCTTAGTCGGTTGGCTAGCTGCAAGCGAGACCCCGGTGGACTCCACACCTAACCGACGAGTAATAGGGGTGCTATCTTTTCAACTCAACTTTCCAATACATCCCCACCGACCCACATTAACCTGGCCCACCCCAAAGTCACTCGCCCTTGGAATGTCGAACTCAGCATCCCAAAAAAGATCATACCCTTGGGCAATGTCGTGCTGAAGGTGACTTCGGTACCTAGCAACTGTCGGTATCAGGGCAAGCTACACACGGGACCGAGTCCATACTGTGTACGAATCGCTGCTGAGGTGTCGGCGGCATCGGTGTCGGCTCCGCGTTGTTGAATTGAAGGTTGTTCGTGTGTGACCCTGGACGGTCCCTGCCTGCCTCGTAGATCGAAGGGAAGTGCCCAGGCGCTTCTTGCCCTGTTATGCCCTGTAAAATTGTTAGTGCATTGCTGTTGGTGGCGCGGGCCACCTGCGTCCCTTCCACCTTGCCTGCCGTCAACATTGCTTCTTCCACCTCCCACCGTCCACGACATCAACAATGTGACAGATTACCGCTACCACGCACTGGGCTGCGCATCCGGTCCGTTCAGTAGCTGTCAGACAGACATGATGAAAGACAGGTGAGTTGCTAAAAAAGGATTGACTTCTACCACTAGTCTGATAGTGTACCTGCGCCGTCTAGATAGCGTGTCCTGTCCGCTAACAGATTGAAAGCCGGTGAAGCAGACTACGAACATCTCGACATGCACTGCACACATCATACGGCTCGCAGAGCGCAGATAGTGGCAAAAATGCGTTTGTTGTTCGCTGGCCATTGGAGGCCTTGTCTGCCGTCGACCTTTCTTTGGGCGAAGGACCTGGGTGAAGGACCCGGTCCATTTAAACATGCCCGCCATACTGCCAGCGAAACAGCGACGGCGACAGTTACGGTACAGTCCTCGGTCCGGGTCCGTCTCAACCTAGTGTCCACTCCCGAGGCCCCGGTTCCGGTCTTCACTAGACGACACCTAAGACATCACGGAGATAATATCGCCGGAACGCCATCATTAAACCGTTGGCCGTCTTGTCTCTGCCCAACTCCGAGTCCGGGAAAGATTGTCGGTCTCTGTCAGCGCTGTTTCGCGGATGTTGAACCGACCGGTAGACTAACAGGAGCTCCTGTCATCCTTTCATTTCTTCTTTTTGCTGATCACGGGGAGGGGGATCACTAACACTCGAATAGTTGAGTAATTACTCTTCTCATCCCCCCATTCTGCAATCCCATTCTCCATGCACCTCTACACCCTCTTTTAGGTGCCCAATGTCTGAAAAGAGTTATCGTCTCTTTCTTCCTTTCTTTTCTCGTCTTTGGTCGTCAACCATCACCACTACAACAATACAAAAAATGATAGTGTAGTTGCACTCATCACCTATCCCAACACCACCATGACATCCGGGGAATCTGGAAAGCTTCCCTTTTCCCTGCCTGTCACTCACAACGCAGCTATTCCCGCTCGTCTTCGGGTGAAAGGTTCTGAGATTCGGCGGGCAATTCTCATAGCGCACCTTATAGCGCCAAAAGATCAGCCCATGGGCCCACCGAGGCGCTGAAACTAGCGGTCTTTTAGCTGCCTTTTGGAATTCCGGGCCGCTAGTCCTGCCTGTCATGTCACCTGTCCAATGTAGCTGTAGGTGATAGCGAGTTACCACTGCTTGGGCAGGCAGGGAGGTCAGCCCGCCAACGACGGTTTCCTCCAACCAACGAAACCAGCCGACGAAAGAAAAGCAAAGGCGAAAAAGGGAAAGAGAAACAAGGGAGTACTCGCCTGTCACTCTCGTCATTACAATGAGGGGAAAGCTGAACGCTCATTGCTCCGACCAAGTTTTTGGAAATTGGTGCTATCACATCCACCACATCTAGTTCTAATCGATCTAATCGCTCCCGAGATTGTGGATCCAGATTGGATCGTGTCTGAGTATTGAATGTAACCAGGTACTTGGGCCCAACTACACTACCAGACAGTAATGCTCTCCACTTCCTCCTGTGAACAACAGGAAAGAAAGAAAAAGATTACTTAGTGTTGTCCATCTCGTCTTCGCTCAGATACACACACACCAGTGCCTGTCATGGCGAGCTAGTTTCCTACAAAAGCGTGGCGTAGAGGGCAGCTTATACTAGCACTCCAGCCAATCCGGTTGCCAATGCTCGTTCGGGTGTTCTGTAGCGGGCCGATATGTCATCTGTCACTGTCAGACTGAGGGGAAGTCAGGGCAAGGCATCATCACCACCATTCCCATCTGACTACACACGTTCGCGATTCAGCATTTTTACTTTTGATGAAGATAGCCAGGCTGTCATAATTCTCTGATCCTAGTCAACTTGGGGCTTGCATTGGCACACTCTTTCATTGTCTAAGGAACAAATCATGAAGATGCTGTTTGAAGGCCTGAAAACTTGACCGCAAAACAAAAACTGAACAAAAGCCTTACATACGGGTGGAAGCCGGTGCAGTAGCATCATGCATCTTCCCCGTTCCGCCGTCCGTCAGCCATGATCCCGCTTTTCTTCGTCTGTGAAGGCTTTCTTCGCGCAGGCTGACTGACTGATGAATGATGGTGGCGTCAACGTGGGTGTAACATCGTAGCGTAAGGTCTCAGATGATCGTGATAATCCAAAAAAAAAAAAGTGGAAACGAAGCCGGTGAAGCACTGGATATCCACTACGCAAAAGAAGAAGCAAGCGTGAAATTTCCTCATCTGGAACTCTAAGCGACATTTTCCTACCACTTTACCCTTTCATCACGAGCCTGCTTCTCCACCACCTCGACGCTACGAACATTGCGTACATCCAGATGATGCACGACAATGGACAGTTGGTGATCTGTCAAGCCCTGATTCGCACACTCCTATCCAGCATCACGTCTCTACCCGGAATGGCGGACAAGAAGTGATAACCCCCGTCAACATCTTCAACGCAGCAACAAGACCCGAGCAGAACCAGACAGCCTTGGAGGAGTCTGGGTCTCTGCTGATCATGCCATATTTGACGCGCTATCGAAGGGGCGATCAAGATCAAGATGTGATATCTCTTTTAGCGCAAACGGGCGGCATCGCGGAAGCAGATCATCGGCGATAGGTATGTCTCCGAAGGGGACGCGGCGGGATGAACTTCCGCAGAGGAAATCGTAGTTTCTGTGGTTAGCTAGACATCGTTGGTGCTGACTGGATGGCACTTGGAGCCTGAAGTCGTCACCAGGGATGCCCAGCTAAGCATACACCCGAAACTGATAGCAAGAATTTGCCGGGAATAGCGCCTTGCGCAGCTCAGTGAGCATGGAAACACAAGTCCGATAATGATGAGGAGAAAACCTCAGCACACTCTAAGACAAACCTACGCGCACTCTAAGCTTCAACAAGTGACTCACATTATTCCAGCCACAACGCTCAGAGTGCCATAAGACTTGGTAAATGTAAAGCAATAGGGTATAACTACTCAACTAACGTTTTTTTCTACTCATTTCTACTCTTCGGTGGCCGTTAACTCTGTAGTTGCATTCGCGGCGCCGGCGTTTGCAACTGGGATAACAACACGGCCACAACAGTGACAACACATCCACCAGATAAGCTACAAAAGCTGTTTTGGTCTCAAAAGGTGAGGTTTGAGCTCAAAGTACTGTAAAAATTACTTTTAGAATATAGAGCCGAAGAATGGTTAAAAAAACATCGTATAGAGCCGGGACTTAGGGTGCGCGTAGGTTTATTTTGGAGTGTGCTGAGGTTTTCTCATGATGAGGGGAAGGTGCCAGTCTAGCGAGGGCATCGGCACCCACGGACATATCCTGCACGATAGTCTCATCGCACGGGAAGAGACGAAGCACATCTACTCGTCTGAGCCTGGGGTCTGAAAGCGCGTTTCGAGCCCATACAAGTAATGTAGCATAGGCCACAGACGTTGAGTTTGACAGTTGGCGTCATGATTGGAGTGGTGAGCCATGTGTCTACCTAGCCTCGCTCGTGTGCATGTATCAGTCATAGCACTCGCCATGGCCAAGACTCCGAGCCTCATCTCAAAGACTCCCAGGCCCAAGGTTGCCCAAGGCTATCACTCCCAATCCACAGCCTCGCCCAGAATGTACACAGAGTGACCGATGACGGACCTTCCACAAGTGCAACTGAAATGATCGAGACATTGAGCATGTGATATCTCGTGAATCTTCCTGAAACACATCGATCTTCGTATTCGCATCCATCGTAGAACTGTAACAGACGGAGATATTATACCCGAGTGCTCGTGGCTTGTCTGACCGTCCGTTGCGGCTCAACAAGGGCAGACGGTCTGGATGACGAGGCTGCGCCTGTAGCTCGTGAATTATAATGCCGAACACTACCATGGGACCCTCCATACACCCTTCAAGCCAGTGCGGCTGCCAAGATGCCGCTCTCTGCCCACGTCCATGCCGTATCATCAGTTTCTTCTCTTTCCCGGCCGTATGTAATGGTCTCACTGTCAGGGCAGGCTGCTAGAGACACCGCGTCATGAATGTAACCAACGTCCCAACGGCACCAATACGCCGCGGTCCATGCTCCCACCTTTCATAGAAAATCCCCGGTCTTCTTGTGCTACTGGTCCTATCACGCTCGGTTCAGTTCCAGACCCGTGTCGGTACTACAACACTTTTGTCACCTGTCACAGAAGACCCGCAGGATGCAAAGAAGGCTTGAAAATGCATGGTACATTGATGCTGACGACTCCGCGGGATTGACAGAAGGGACACTGGGACGCTTGGACGGGAAGGAGCAGGTGGTGTGTGACAGGTATGCTCGGGGATCTCGTCGTGTGGCCGGCGCTGACTGGTACCGAGGAGTTCCGTGTCTTTAAAACCGGTGCCACGGAATGGTTCTTTGGCCCGTCCCGAGTTCTAGCAACTCCGTAAGCGCGGTACCGCTATCAGCAAAAATATGGCTCGGTAGCGATAACTCAATGGATTACAGCCCTCCTAGACTCGACCGTGAGAGACGGAGATGGTTAGTCTCACAAGTCTGCAAGATGCCGGGCGGAAATGACATGTCATCATCCAGAACCATGAAAGAAGAGGTTGTGGTGTTGTTCCAAATGCATCGTATCCGAGATCCTCCAGCGGACTGATCTTCCGTGTGTGACAGGTGTGTCTTTATATCCAGCAGTGCCAGCATCTCACGGCCGGCGGGAGACCTGGACGTCTACCTACGCGACTTTACGTACGCATATGTGGAAAGCGATCCTGTCTAGTTGACCAGGTATGTTAGGTGATCCAGGAATGGTTGTTTTGGCAAACTTTGCTTACAGCGGTGATATTCACGTTGGGAGAAGAGAAAAACAAGTGAGGGCGCCTCTCTGTCACCATCAGAACCTGCGTTTCTTCTTGGCCGGCCCCACGGCAGCTTTCTTCTCCAGCTCCTTCTGCAGCTCGGCTCGCTTCCGATCTGCTCGCTCCTCGGACGTTTCCCGTGGCTTGGGGGCCGCGCTAGGGCTCTTGCTTCTACCGCGACTGATAACCCTGCTGTCTGGCTTTGGAGACGGTGCTTTTCCAATCGTTCCCAGCTTGTGTCTCTTCGGCTGAGAAGCAGGGGGCGAAGATGGCGATCGTTCAGGTTCAGGTTCAGGTTCAGGCTCTTTCTGCTTCGCTTTACCGCCTATACCCCCTATGCGACCAAGTCCCCCCTTTTTGGGCGCAGGCTTGGACGAGGGAGGAGAAGGGGACGCGTCTTCCTCTGCTTCTGAAGCTGTTTCTGAGGCCATACCATTGTCCTCCTCGGGTATTGCTGGCGACGGTGAGCGGCTAGGCGGTCGCTTCCGGCCGCCAAGAGCGCCCAGTCGACGAGCCGGCGTGCTCTTCGGTGAGGCCCTGGTAGAACGAGGAGGTGGGCTCTGGGTCATCTGCACATCCTCGGCCTCGCCGTCCGATGTGGTGTCGTCATCGTCAATGACTGTCTGACGCGTGGCGGTACCACGTCTCTTGTTCGCTGATCTGAGCCCAGGCGGCGTGGCTTGGACTTGGAAGTCGTCATCATCATCCCCTTTCGTTGGTGGTTCTGGCGGTGGAGGCGTCTGTGTTTCTCTCTTTGACCGTTCAGCGAGGACAACCTTTCTCCCTCTGCCGAGTTCGGTCCACCAGGTGTCTAGCATGGTTGATGCTTCAAACTCCATTTCCGGGTTGTGCTTGAGGCCGGTTTCGCGAAAGACGGTGTCAAGGAGCGCAAGGATGTCCGTTGATCTGGTGGCTTCTTGCACTCCATCTTTTCTGAAGTCTGCTTCGACAAAGGGCGCGAGACCCTTGATCTTGCCTTCTGCTTCCTTCCTCTTGACTTTGCGTTTGCCTAACAGTTTGTTGAAGATGTGCTCGAGCCCCATACCGTTGGACTCCAGCTTGTCTACAAGTCTGTTAATAACGGCGTCCTTGTCTCGAATGGTGGTAATGAGATGATCGATCTCTCGTGCTCGAGCTTCGTGCGATTGGATCAGCGGCAACACGAGTTCCGTCGCAAGCGTAGAGGCAGGGCACTTTTTCAAGTACAGTGGCCACTTCAATGGCTTGAAAGGCTCGGGGAGAATGCAAGTAATATGAACCTCAATGAAATCGTCTTTGCCCTTGCTGAGAGTCAGAAACGTGTTGGGATGCTCTGGATCGTCAATGTCGAAGGCAGCTCGGATCCAATCAAGCAACCTCTGCAAGTTATCATTGCCGTCTGTTGGGTCAATACTGGTGTCCTCAGCCGATGCTCTTCCCATAATGGGTCTCCTCTCCATGTTCTCCATCCAGACGTTGGCAAGATCGGTCAGGTGTACCTTGTATGACTGGGCCGTGAAGTCGGTGGCAACCAAAAGGTTGGGTATGCCCGGGACGGCGACCGGAAGCGGCCTCCATGGCGGAGAGTTCGACATATTGGATAGCTGGCCAATGATCGGAATCGAATCGCAGACGGAGACGGTCGGGGCTGTTCAGAGTGTCCGGGTGCTGGGTGAAGCATGAGTTAGACAGGAACGGGAGAACATCGCAGCAAAGACATGCCAGGGTCAGTGGAACGGACGCACTAGGTGCTTTGATGAGGCTCCGGAGGGTATGCTAAGACAACCTACCTGATGCTGTGGAATGAGAAGCAGCTGTATCAGTACTTGGTTGTAACACGGCGTGAGTTCGATAGCGTGTTGAGCCTCTTAACGCCTAGGCGGCGAGATACGCGGTGGCTTCGGTCCCTTGCGGTACTCTTGACAACAGCTGCGGGGCGTCGTAGGAGAATGTGGTGATAACTAGGCGCAGTATGTTGGTCTGTCTGTCAAGGCAGCTTCATTAGCCAAAGTGAACCCAGCCATGACGTATCTGGTCATAAGGAGGGCCTAGGCCATCCATTTGGGATCAGCCTTTTGATTTGGAATCTTTATCGTACGCTGTATCACAGTCTCACAGTCTCACAGTCATACCATCCATGTGGGAGCTCCTGGTATCGTCCTTGGGGCCCAGAAGAGCCTCTTGTATAGGAAATGAGGCGGGCGAAGTGTTGCAGAGTGTCAATGGTACCACTTGGTGTCTTCTTGGCTGTCCACCGTTGCGAACAAGGCTGAGCGATCCAGTTCTAATCGGAAGCCGTCAGGACTCTGGGACGAAAGATGCCTGGTATATTGAACGGGAGCTCACCTCTGGGAAAGATCGGGCCGGAATAGCGAGGAGCCTCAAGCGCGCGGGTGTCGGCCGACAAGACGATGCAATGCCGGGACTTGGGTTGTCTGTGTCACGGTGCACAGCGAGAAGGGCAGATGTAGCGACCTTTGGTGCCGCACTGTCCTGATTGTCGTGGAAGGGTGAGATTAGTCGTGAGGTTGAGCCTCTCGTCGTCGTGGTGTTGGTTCGGCCCCTCAGTGGCAGCAATCGAGTCGCCCAGATCCAAGCTGACCGGAGCCGTCGTGACCAAGGCTGAAAAGGGTTTCCCCAATGGAGAGCTTCACTGCAGTGACAGGGCGGCGTCAGAAGTTCCGTTTGTCAAAGGCTCCTTCCTGCTCTTTGGATCCGATTCGCGATTGTGATGTCAAGAACAGGAAGGAACGTTGAGAGTCCGTGCACGGTGGCTGCTTGCATGCAGGCAGCAGTGCTTCACCGTCCGTCTTCTCACCTAGGTGTACAAGGCCACTAACGACCCGGGCCATGAACGGTCAACCCCCCTGCAAAGGCGTAAAGTATTCAGTAGGCCTTTCCACTACATACTTGTAAATGAATTTAATCTCTTATTTAAGTTGCCCTCCATAAATTCCAGTGTTAACATGGAAAAGCAGTGAGACTGAGAATTTGTTGTCCTGCCGCTAACGTCGCCACGCTTAAGGCCCCGCGAAATCTGTTAGTCCCTAAACAGACGAGATGCATGACAACGGGGAACGATTGGAACAACCTAGCACTACTCCTTTATTCTGGTGTTCAAATGTCACTTTCCATTGAAAATCTGCTGCATATCAAGTTGCGAGCACATTACCTTGATGAGGCGAAAAGTGTATTGGCCCGGAGAGTGTACATGAGCAAAGAATGTCCTATGCCCTATGTCCCGGGTCCGACAGCCCGGATCGGAGATGTGGATCCCGGTGAGGCCCGGATATATGGGGCTAGACCGTCAGGGTCACCGGAGACCTACCTTTAGACAACGACCTTCTAATCCCATTTGTCACGTGGTGTAGAGTACGATCATCGATGGGGTAGGAGTGGATGGTGTCGATATAGTTGCAAATTATTCACTGGAGACAAGCAATGCATTGTTGCTTTGTTCTCTGCTCAGTGATCTGGTTCTTGGCGTGGTGTCTTCTTTCACAGGCATGAACGAGGGCCACGGAGAGGCATCTAGACATCATGATTTCGGTCTAAATACTTGCGAGAGCTAGGTAATGCTTTTTGGGACCATTGTGTATCAAAGGTGGACGAATGGAAGTCTGATCTCGCTTTGTTCTTTCCGAGCAGGTGGGTTGAGGTGCCTGGGCACTCACTGCACGAGTTCCTTGGCGCGGGGGTTGCAACTTGCAAACCAAACACGTGCTTTCGTGAGTTGGTCGCGATTACAAGTAACTCTGTTCTTTCCAACTGCGACTTTCTTTTTTTGCGTCTTGGAGGGGCGACGCGTCACGGTCCCCTGCGGTGCCGTACATAACTTACTTGGAACCCCCGCATCGTTGATCTCTACTTTGACATCTTCACCAACCGCACCGGTTTGCACCCAGGATCGCATCAGCAGAACAACACGCGAAATTCATCACCCAGTCATGGCCATCTTGAGCTGCTTTCCCGGGCTCAAGGCCAACGTTAGGGTCGGCGGTGAGCTAGCAAAGGAGTATGATGCACCGCCTGAAGAGGTCGAGGCGCGCTCGAAAACGTTCGAATTTCATAAGCTGCGCTCAAGGGTCGGCGAGGGAACACCTTACTCATTGAGCTACATCGAAGCGAAGCCGGGCGAGTCCTTCGAATTTGTCATCGACACCAGGAGCATCAAGCTTGAGCGTAGTGAAAAGCCTCAGAAGTTCCAAGTGACTGCCGTTCTGGACGGATTCAGGGCGCATCCGAAACTGTTCAGCAGCGAAGTTTTCACGTTCAGTAAATGTCTTACTGGCAGCCCCAAGACTGACTTTTCAGAGACAACGTTCAACTTTGCTGCTCTCGAAATTTGTAGGGTCATCCTCGCTGAATTATTTCCAGTGGGATAATGTTCTCCATTATGCCTTGTCGCTGACAGATTGACATTGCAGTGGAAAAGCCGGTGCCGGAGAAGGACATCAAGAAGCAGATCGAAGAGGCCAATAACTACGGCACACTCCTTATCAAACTCGATCTGATCCATACCAAACCAGGATCGCCGCAACCAATCAACTTTGACCTCGCTACACCCAAGCCGCCTGTTCTGGAGGTGGCCGAGAAGATTTTGAAAGGAAAAGCAGTGGACAGCAAAACCACGTAAGCGGCCAAAATATACCGAAGGAGTCAGTAGCATTACTGGCAAGCTCATTACTTACACGCGTCTAGTTTCCAGTCACAGCGGATCTATGTACCCTCCTTCGTTGGCATCGACTACGCCGATAGCAAGCGGCGGCCCTTTGCAATTTTTGAGTTCCGATACCGAACAATGGGTGAGTAACAAGTCGGGCCGCAGCACCCCAACACCGCAGGTATCAAAAGAACCTTTGCTCACGGAACATTACAGAGGGCCTTATCCGAGAGTTTATTGTGCCCCGGCCCGAAGAAGTTATCGATGTCGAGGAGGAGTACATGGTACGCATCGCCCTTGCGTTCTCAAGATCTACTGTCCCAAACCAAAACACGCTGGGCTAACTGCTGGATGTTTTGTGACAGCGTATCAAGCATATCAAGCCCGAAATTGCCGTCGAAGCCCGTGGTATCAAGAGAGAGCCCATGGACGCAGCTCTGTTTGCTGCCCGCTACAAACAGCGCCGGTTGGAAGACGGCAAGGTCGAGATCGATCTGACAGACGACTAAGGTTTACACTACACATGTGTCGGTATTCGTCAAGCTGGTTCAACCAATGTTTCTTTTTCTGAGGAGGACTTTTTGCGCTGTCATTCAACGTACAGAGGGGCCAAAAAGGCACGGAGCGAGGAGCAAAAGGCGTCACGGGGGTTGACTGCTGGTCTTGTTATTGCGATTGTTGGGGAGTGGCACTTGTTTCCAACTATGAAGACGAGAGAGGCAGAATCTGCTGTTTGTCCAATGACTTTCTAGCAACTGTATTTGGGATCCCAAGAACTAGGTAGTTCCCGCTTTTTCGGTTTACTCGGTTCGCCAGTACAGGTGATATTGGGCATCATCTTTCCGCACCCTAACTGACTTCCCATATAACTGTAGCTCCTTCTCTTGTGCATATCATGCTTTGTTCGAAGATCGGTCAATAACAGCAAAGCGAAGCGGGAGAAAGTATTCGTTGAACAGCGCTAGGGGATCGAGAGTCGCGCGGGTGTACGATTCCATTGCTTCGATGAAATCGGATACGTATGAGCTCGTGGCGCTGAAGGCATTGGTATGGGATGAAGGGAACGGCCTTGTATATAGACTTGTGGACTCGTAGTTCTTGCTCGTGAGCATCGGTAGATCGGTAGGAGACTCGCAATCTCGTGGTGTCGAGGTATTGGGGTATGTAGAGCGCATGGTGGACGGCGGCATTGTCGCGGTTGATACTCGAGGGCAGCAGGAAATTTGAACAGTCGCGAGGTTGGATATTGGGTATTGCTCCTGTTAAAAGCGAGTATTGTTAGCTTGTTGTCTCGCCTGAAGTGGTGTGGGAGGCCGAGGGAAGTGGCCGAAACGAAGAGAGGGTACTTGGACACTCGTTCATAATTCGGCAACGAGGCGTCGTGTGGAAGATCTAAACCACAATTGTGATAAAAGCGGGAGCTTAAGATGCCAGACCCTTCAATGAAAGGCAGAACTGTGGTATGGACGAGACGTGGATGTTCCCCATTCCCGTCAATTTCGCTGTGTAGGCAAAGTTTCGTTGTCGGTCCCACTTTCCTTCCCGGGGACCAGGCGGGGAGGAGACCTTGATGGCTGCGCGTCTGGCGCGTCTGCATCCCGTTTGTTGCCTTGCCAGCCAAAGCACGTCCAGCGTGTCCTGGGATGTGCAATGTCGCGCCTTGTGTCAATCTATTCCAGTCAGATCTATCTGGGTGCGCGATGCTGACAAGAGAAACCAACGATGTTCCACCTCTCGTCGCTGAGGGAACGAATAACCACGAGCACCGGTCGGGCTATCGCTTCCATCACTCGCCATCATCCTGTACCCGTCCAGGTCTGCAGCCCTTTTCTGGCACTCGAATGCCACAAGCGCTGATAGCGATAAGGAAAGGGGAAAGGACGGGAACGGACGCGAAACGCGTGTGAAAGACAGGAGCTGGGTCAGTACGTATTGATGGTGTACGCGTTCGGTCCTGGCCGCCCTTTCCTGGTTGCTCTTGCCTTCTTTGCTTGTCGTTCCGAGTCAGCTTTCGTCCAGGCAGCCTTCGCGCAGCCTCCAGCCTGCAGCGTTGCCTTGTCATCCACTCCTCCCTGACACAGCACCATCGTCTCTGACTTTAAGCTGCCATCCAATATGCCATGGTCAGCAGTCACGATGTCTTTCACTTTGGGGAAACACCCGACAGCAATAAAAACCGCAACAACTGCTACGGGATCCACAAACGCCGGAGAAAGCTCCCTCTGTCGTGGCCCCCGCCGCGCCGACGACCCCTTCCGGAACGATGGGCACACGGCCATACGCCTAATGCGCACATAAGTTTTCAGAGTCATCAATCCCAATGGACCCCTTGTTGGTCAAGAGCGACTGTGATGAACGGAGATCTGGGGCAATAGTTGCCCATCTGCTTTTCTTCCGCTTGCTAACTTTGATTCTAACAGACTTCCCGGTTGTTGACGATGCAGCGTATCCTCCTTCGTTCAGACGAGACCACAGGTGGCAACCACGAACAGACAATGATAATCCATGCCACATCCACCAGGTTCCGCGGCTCCCTGGGCCCGAGCTTCCCTACATACTCGGCTCGCTATATAAGGTAGCGTTGACCTTCGTGTCGCTCCTTGCCATTTGACCTAGTTGCGGGACAAGATCACTTGAGTTGCGCAAAATATGGGAGGACTCGCCTTAAGCAAGGAATAAATTTCTGGAAACGACGCGCGGTTTTCCTTTTCCAACTCCGCTCCCGTGACAAAACCACATCAACCATCCTTCCAACTCTTCAAGCTGGTCTATTATCCCGTCATTCAAGCTACATAGCTTCGCCTCTTCGAGTAACGATCACCACGAAAAGCATATCCAATTCTGATGGCGCCGAACTTCCAGAAGCAGATTGAAGCCCTCCAACATCAAATCGAACATTCTAGCAAAGCCCACATTTCAGAGCTTGGGAAGATTCAAAGCCAGGCTGCAATGTTCCAGGAGGAGATTGAATCTTTGCGGCAGCAGGTCCAAGATGCCAATGCTGCTCGCGAAAAGGCAATGAAAGTTAAAAATCCTGCTTCTCGACTTTTGCAGGCCATACCTATCCGGCAGGCCGTGGACGACAAGTCTCGGCCACAGATATCATTCGCACAGTTCTGCAACTTTTTCGCATCCGGTCCTCAACTCCCCGAAGAAGACTGGTACGCAATTGTCCCTCACCTCACCACTCAGAAACCGTCAACATCTTGCGAACTTCCTCTGCCCACCGAGTTCTGGGAGGTTAGTGACACCTGGGGTCCTGAACGAGCAAGTTATCCCTCGGTCGCTTCCGACGGGGTGCTGGAATCATGCTTGGGTCTCTATGCCGTCTTGAAAGATTCTTCCCGTCAGGATTGTGACTGGCGGAACATGGCCCTCTTGTCCGTGCGTCAGTTGATGAAGGAGATGCTCAGCAGGGGCATCGTCTACAAGGGGCTTATTTCTCTGATTGCCAACATGGTCATCGGGCTCGTCGAGACGAAAAAGCTGCAGAAGGACGATCCCTTGCTGTTCGCTATTTGGCAAGTCGTTGCCTGTGCGGACGAGATGCTGACCAATTTGTTGTCCTCGGAAAGAAGGGCGTTCAGGGATATTCTTACCGGAGCCTGGTCCGATATTTCTCGTTCCATCATGTTTCACACACAAACAGAGGATCACAAGGACATTCGCCCTTTCGACCTTGTTCTACAGGCATCACTCAAGCCAGGCCGCATCTATTACCACACCTCCAAGGTTGGAGTAGTTGTGAATAGGGATATGGATAGCAATCAGCGGCGGTACATTGTGCTTGACTTTGATACCAGGAGACTCCGTGTCGTGGAGGGGGAAAGATGGGATGTGAAGGATACTGGGACTCTGGTTGATGTTAAACTCCTTGGAAATGATGCAGGGACTGGTTACTGCTTTGAGATTGACAGACAATCGTGGGAGCTATTGATATCAGATACGCTGGACGGTTAAATACTTATATTCTTCTTCAAGTCAAGATGGTTTACTCCCCACTTCTGGAGCTGTCGGTCATGCACAAATAGGTAATAGACAACACATATAGTACCTTTAGCCCAATGTCAATGGACAACGCCTAGAAATGCAAGTAGTCTACTCTCAAGTCCCAGACGGACCGGAAAACACTTTGGCTAGCATAGGTAGCCTGTCAGGCCAGCACTTGATGCCGTTTATGCTTCGCTCTCCCAGGTATGACCCGATATTCAAATCCCGGATGAGGTCATAAGCAAGGCTAAGATCTTGGCATGGCCGATTAACGAAAGCGGTGGTGATGCTCTCGCTCACTTCGTAAAGGGCAAAGTCAAAGAAATCTTGCAATTCTGGGAGTATCGCACAGACGGGTGTCTTCCCATACATTGGGGACTTTTTGCGCCGACAGTATACAGACGGGTCCTGTCCGGCTACGTTGGCATCGTCAGCTCAAGTTACCCTGGAAACGTTGATGCGTGCAGCCTTGTAAGTGTTGTGGGGCCAACCGAGCATCCCTGCACCTTGTCAGCCTTACGACGGGTTAATTTTGCTGTAGCGCCTGCAGGCTCCTGCAAGGCACTGATAGCCGCTAAACTCCAGGGCTATTAATGCCGCTTCAGTGGGCTGGTCCTGCCCCTCTGCAAATGACGGGAAATGAACGCAAGGCTTGACCCACCCGTCAACAAATCGAACCCGACCTCCCGCCTCTTTCAATGTTCCACGCAACCGAGAGCAACCAAGTCGCTAGGGAACAGGAGTCGACCAACACAACCGAGATATCAACGTCCGCACATCAGTGAGTCCAACCTAACGGCCTGACCTGGGTATTTCGGAAGAGACTGGAGAGATGGGAAGCTGACGTTCGACCACACAGGCAGGGAACCATCGGGCTCACGCACCGAACTCGAGGCATGTAGCGACCGATCGAGCGACCGACCGAAATCCAAACCCACCCAGACACCTAGACAGGCGTACCGGTTCGCGACATAGAGTCCACTTTACCGTCTTCTGTCCAATCAAGGCAGCGAGCTTGCCGATTTGCGCTCGTGCTGGACAACTTTAGGCCCATCTGCTCAATCTCGCCCGCGATTCTGCCAACAGGCCTTCCGAGGATCACAATTCGCCCCGATGTCCAGCGTTGGGCTCGAGACAGGATTGACGATAAGCACAGTCTAGGGCCTGTTACATGACGAATACTGATATACCCGCTGTTTCGTCTCTCAGCCGGACATTCCCTCCCTCGATGGATCTATACCTTGGAACAAAGTTGCAAAAACGAGAAGCTTCTCTTCAAACATCTGCTACTATCAAGAAGACCGAGACTCCGGCGTTTGAAGCCGCGGCGATTCTTACAAGGGAAAGGGCATGACACAAGAACTGGACACTTGACTGACGTCCTTTTTGGCAAGCTATTTGCTTCAAAACAGCCCGCGCTGAATGCAAGACCTGTTGCCGCATTGATAACTCGGCTCAATGACTAGCATTACTTTCCGCGGCTATAGTTGTGGGCGCTTCGTTTGGTCTAACGAAATAGGTACTCCGAATGTACCTCGGAAAGAGAGCATAAACCCTTCCGTCGTTTCTCGACCCAAACTGTCCGGCCACAACCTCTAACCTGAAAACATCAACTCACACTGGGTCCAAAGGGCGGCACAGCTACCTCCGGCTCCGGCTCAGCATACACTTCCGTCTTTCGCAACTCCTTCAAATTCCTCATAATTACCGCCCTCTCGTTCGTCTTCGGATCCCTATACCTATTTCCATGCCTATGCATCGCCCTAACACTCAAAGCACACTCCTTCGTAATAGGATACAGCCCATCCTTCATGTAACCACTCATCAAGGTCTCCCCAGTCCGTCCCAATACAATATCCGGCCATGACTGATTGGTAGTACGAAAAGGTGGGAGTCCGCTCCGGGAGGCAACGAAGATGTTGAAGTCCTGTAGGAGACGTTGGAGGTAGCTGTGCGTAGGGCGTGCTAGACAGTCGTCAAACGAATGGGAGAGAGTATTGCAGAGCGGGCAGCCCAGAATGTCCCCGTGACTGGAGGAGAAGCTGCAGTAGAGGAGTGGGTGACTTTTGGCATCGTCGAGACGGTGGCATTCGACGCACCAGGCGCAGGAAGGGCCGTCGTAGGGCGTGGGCTGGGAAGGATGGGAGGAGCTGAATGATCCAGAGGTAGGGACACGCGCAGGTGAGAGAAACCCTGTCTGAAATGTTGTAAGTTGTTGGTAGATGTTTAATTTTCTTTCTAGTTGCTTCATGCGCTCCTCAAGGTAGGCTGGAGGGCCGACGTCTAGGATGTAGGAGGGCAAGGACAAGGGATGACCTATGGTCGCCGTGAAGGTGGCGCCGGGTACTCGTTTGGTGAGGAAGTCGACAAGTTTACTAGCTTGAACGGGATCACAGTCCACCAATGCTACGATGTCGTCAGGAAGTCCCGCGTTGGTGAGGATGTCCCGCATATGTTGACGTTGCGCCTCTCTGTTGCGGTTGGATTGTTCAAAGTCGCCGGCGCGACTGTGACCTTCGCCACGGCCGTTGCCATCGCTACCGATGTCAGATGCAGAGTCCATCGTTGTACCTGGTAGCTTGCATGAAAGACCTTGTTGTGTCGGTTGGTACCTCTATGGTTTGATGGAACAGAGTAATAGAGAGGTGAGAAAAGAGTTCGGGAGAATTATGTGTGCGGAAAAAATAGTACGATCACAAGGGAAAAGGGCGGGGTGTACTGGCAGATAAACTCGAACTCAAAATGACTGTTTGCTCATGTGAGAGCACACCTAAGATTAGATAACGGGCAAGGCTCACATACCTCTAGTGTTGGAGGCCGGGGTGGAGAGGAGACAATAGAGAGGGCAGTAACGAAATAGGAGAAACGGAAAACAATACTGGACGAGACTGGAGTGCCGGCGAAAGGAAGGACAGTAAGTCGGCGCCATTGAAGGTACGGCAGGCCAACACTTAGTATAGATTCTGGTCGTCCACCATCTCCACCACCATCCTATCTACTACCTGCCTCTGCTCAAAGTTCCCTTTCACTGGCCTCCTTGCTTGGTACATATTTAAGCCCATTACCATTGGTGAAAGTGGGGACAGAAAGGGAGAGGATGGGTTATGATGGAAGCAAGATCGGAAAAAAGAGCAGGATAATGGTATTCATAGGACAGACAGTCCAGAGGGAGCGAGGATCGGACAGTCTGAAATGTTCGAAAACGGCTTACTCAAACCCTACAGAGAGGAAGGCCATGCATACATAGGTAAACAAAATGAACTGCTCTAAGGAGAAACGTGATTGTGAAGTGAGATCAAGTAACCTGATAAAGTAACCGCTAACATGTCGAATCCGATTCATGTTTCATCTCTGGGCGATACTTTCCACCATGGTCGCGGTTCCTTGTTTCCACTGCCCTCAGTGTTGCGGCCGCATACACCTAGACCCATAACTTTGAGGACGGTTGGGCCAACCTCTTTGCCATAACGTACATTATAACCATCTGGAACCGGAACAAAGCCATTGAGACATCATGTATCCCAACAATAACAACAACAGAAACGATATCAGTAGATCAAGCCAAACAAGCCGGACCTTCCAAATGCTTCTCCATCCTGGTAACGTCCAAGGAGCCGTCACTTTCACCAACAGAGTAAGAACGCGAGCCAGACATCGGCATCTGACACACAACGACATCTACTTCCCCTTTCCAGAACTACGCACTGGCTTCTCAAGCATAGGATTCTCGTCAGTTGACCCATCACAACTTCCCCCCGTTTTACCAAGCGCGAGTGTGAAGAAAGGCGAAGCTGACTGACTATAAGAGGTAGGCCAGACGCTGTCCTTGGTTTCCGCAGCACGCTTCTTTGGCAAAGGTTGCTGGAGAAAAGACGCCGGAGATGACTTGGGAGAGGAGTCGATAACAATCACCTCCGGTGCGGGCTTGACAGCAGCGGCCGGGACAGTTGTATTGGGCAGTGGAAGTTTCACAACGAACAGTGAAGTCGCGCCAGAGGAGCCAAAGAGGGAAGGGAGAATGGAGGAGTTTGTGGGCCAAATGGCTGGCTTGCTTGGAACAGGCGACTTCGTTTCCGAGAACGAATGACTGAAGACGCTGCGAGAGCTTCTCGTACTCTGATCGCCAGAGCCTCCAAATAGACTCGATGTGAGGTTAGACGAGGAGTCGAGGGACGGAGAAGATCTGTTTTCCGACGCGATGTGATGAGAAAAGATCTTGGACTGTTCTTTGGGCCTGAACATATCAAAGATGCCCTCGGACGGCTTTTGAAGTACTGGAGTACTGGAGGGGACCTGCGGAATATGGGCAGCGGGTTGAGATCTGCCGGAGGACGATGCAGACAAAGGCGGTGGCTTCACGTGCCCATGTTGTATATGTTCGGCAAAGCTCGGAATCGTCGGAGCAACGGGCTTGCTTTCTGACTTCGTCTGCTCTTGTTTCGAAACAGCTTCAGGCGCGTGACTGTGCCCAAATATCTGTTCTACCTCGACAGAAACGACATCCGATGGCCCGGATAGAAGGAGAGATAGGAGGCGTTGTACCTTGCGGCACAGGAATCCCGATGACTCTGTCGGTTGGATGTTGAAGTTTGCCCTCCGGAGACGCTGGAAAATCATTTCCTCAGCTCGGTGCCCCTCTTCTGGGAAGCCGTCGATGGCAGCGGCTGCTCCACGACTAAGAGTAAACACCACTGTGCTCTCAGACTGATTGTAGTGGGCGCGTATCGTCTCCCCATGTCTAAGCCTGTGGACCATGAAGTTGTTGGCATGACGGAATCTTCGTCGCCTCCTCGACTGGCCATCGTAGGTAGACGAAAAGAGGTCCTAGATATGTTGCGTTAGCACACAGAGAGAGAGGAAGTGGGTGCCAGGAAGATGAACTCACGGGCTTGCGATCCTCCTGTTTGACAGGAGCAGAGGGAACGGGCGGCCGTGGAATAGAGAAGTCGAACCTAGCTTCGTGCTCTGACTTGATCACCACGCCTGGTTCGGTCTTGATTGGGAGCATCGTGTCGGCGTGTCCTTCCTGGCACCGAATGAAGACGGAGACTGATATGACTCAAGATCGGTTGGAAATTTGGAGAAGAAAGTACTGAAAGGGCGGAAGGGAAAGGGAATTCAGATAGTAATGCGCGTCTCGGAATGTCAATGGCGGTAGGTGAGGCGGGTTTTGTTCGGGACGAGCGGTGCGCAAGTATTCTTTCGGCGAGCCACAAGGAAAAAAAACAGGCCTTCGCTTCTTCAAACGCGTCTGGGCTTCCCTTTGGTTTGGTAGTAGTTCGCAGCCTCGAGAACTCGACGCGAGGCGGGGCTCATGGGCCGCTCCTTCCTTCATCGAGGTTTCATCTCCCGACTCAAGAAAGATAACGATAAGCCGAGGGGCACCCAGTCATTCCCGTCCGTCTGGAGGGGCTCGGAAATCGAGAGAGATTTCGCTTGCAACAGCCCCTTCCGAGAAGAGAGCAGAAGACGTTGACTTCGTAATCCATTTTTCCATCAACTTGACAGCATCTGTTTTTCCGCTTTGGACACCTTTCTGAGAGTTCAATGCCATAAGAGACTTGCTTACTGTTGCAAGGTAGAAGACATATGGGTTCTCATTTGTAAAAGCGGAGACGACAGTATCAAGCAAGAATGGATGCCTCAGATGAAGCCCGTCGAGAGATGAACGGCGTTTGCTCACTCCATCTCCATGGGAACACAAGCACATTTCCTCCTGCCAAGAGATGCGATGACAAGATTCATATCGCCAAAGATATGATAAACCATAGAGTATCGTGATCAAAAGGCCCACATGGCGAAACGTCATTGAGTGCTCCTGAGGACGATGATGTTGATGACGAGAACTGAAACCGAATGTCGTTGAAATTGGGGAATGGGGGCCCTGGCCATTCCCCACTGTATAGGGCTGAGAGGATAGTGGGGGGTTTGCCCTAAAAGCTTAGAGTATGGCGGGGACCCCTGCGCCGTTCGTCAGCAGTGGATCTTGGCGCCTGCCGGAGATTGGTCCGATAATCGGCCGCGACAGGCTCTCTCCTCTTCGCTCTTTTTCTCCCACCCGTCTTTCATCCTTTCCTCTTTCCCATCCATCATCTCTTTTTCACGATTGGCACAACTGCAAGACAGGAACCCAGCCTCAGTGCCAGTTGTCCAGCATGTCTCGCTTCCGACACACTTCTGCCTGCCGTTAGATCGTCACAATCATCACATCGGTAACGAGTCATCGCGCGCCGGCCCCACAAGTTGCCAGGATTGCCATGGGTTTTGTCGTTTGGACAGCCAAAGAGAATGAAACAATCAATGGAAGCCGAGCAAGAGGTCGCCCGTCTGCCTGATGCAAGTGTGGAGAAGATGACGGCCGCCATTCGCTGGGCATCAATGAGGGAACACAACCAGCCACGGCAGCCTGCATTGTCAGCGACATTGACCTCTTCTTTCCTCACCGTCGCCGCCTTGGATGAGGCCGTTGGTGGTTGAGATGGCAGGCGCCATGCATAGAGATGTCAGACATGGGATGGCGGAAGGAAGTATAAAAGGTACGAGTATGCCACCGCTTCTCTTCTTGTCCACCAGATCCTGTCGCAAACCTTCTGCCTGTCTCCTTGTGCTACCATAACCGCCGTTCTTTTGCATTCTTCAGGCATATCATACTGGCATCTATACAACAGACATCATGGCTCCTACTACCGTCACCGAGGATGTCCCTGATGGGGCTCCTGCCCAAGAACCCGTCAAGACCAAGTGTACCTGCAAGTGTACCGAGACGAACGGGGTCAACGGCCACGACGAGACCACGCCTGAAGTAGAGAAGACCGCGACCCCCAACGACGACACCAAGCCCCAAGACACGCCCGACGACAAAAAAGACGAAACTACCCAGACAGTCGAAAAGACAGACTCTGACACAAAAGATTCGGCCACGGACGACAAAAACAAGCCCCCAGAGGACCAGACCATGAAGTGCGAGTTTAAGCACCTTGATAGGAGATATGACGAAAAGGACGAGCATTACTTCACCGAGCGCAAGACGGATATTGAGAAACCAGCACAAAAGGACTGGTGGCGTCTTTATGCCTTTTGCCTCGTCAAGCACTACGACCACCGCGGCGAACATGACAACACCCGTCTCTACGTTAACCCCCAGCCCCTGCGTCAGCTCCTCAGGGACGTCATTGGCGACTATCCCTCCGACCCCATCGATGTCGACGACGTCCAGAGCGAAGCTCCCTACCATGCCCTCTTCCACTACCGCAAGGAACTCCAGGCCGAGGGCGTGAAACGCTTTGCCGACGACCAGGAGTCCCTTCAACAGTTCAACCTCCTCATGGACTGGATCAGGAACCACTTTGAGTCTGAGATTGCTGCCTACGAAAAGTGCATCTCCGGCGAGATCCGCGCCATCTCGTACGATAACGCTTGGACCCTCCTACCGCCCGGCACCATTGTCCACTGCAAGATCTTGGATCAAGATCGCGCATATCGCGTCAGCCGGTACTATGATCAGTACGACGAGCACGCCAACCTCGTTGGCATGACCCTCTCCTGTCGCTACATTGACTTTGACGGCGAGAACGTGGGAACTCTCAAATCGCATCTGACCTTCCGCAAGTACACCGGCGTTGTCCAACTCAGCGAGCTTGATATCGTTCCCCTTCACCTACATGAGGATGCCGACGGGATCCGGAAGACCTTACTAGCACGTGGACGCAAGTGGGAGAAGCATCTTGGCCAACATTACGTTCAATACAATTGCATCGCCGTCATCAAAAAGGAGATGCAAGGTTACGCCCGCTTCGGCGTCAACGGCCGCGTCATGATTGACTGTGCCACCTTCCACCGGCTGGCGGCCGACCACTCGTTTGTTGTTAAGAAGTTGCCGAGTTCAAAGTCCAAAGCCCCTTCCCTGTCCTCCATCAAGTTCACATCAGAGACCAAAGAATACGAGCCTCTGACTGACGAGCAAGCCATGCTCACCAACGCCACCGTCCGCGGATACTCCTTCACCATCAAGCGGTTCCTCGAGTTCTTCGTCGACAAGCTGGAACCCATCCAATGGAACACTTCGTGCTTCGACGGCCTCGTCCTCGACCCCACCATCAAAAGGACCGTCCAAGCCCTCGTCTCTAACCACACCCGTGAGCGGCCCGGGTTCGACGACATTGTCAAAGGCAAAGGCCAAGGCCTTGTCTGCGTACTTCACGGTCCCCCGGGTGTCGGCAAGACTCTGACGGCAGAATGCGTAGCCGAGTACGTTCAGCGCCCGCTGTATATGGTCTCATCGGGCGACCTCGGCTGCGTCTCCTCCGAGCTTGACGCCCAGCTCACCCAGATCATGGACATGACCGCCACCTGGCGAGCCGTCCTGCTCATCGACGAGGCGGATGTTTTCCTCGAGCAACGTGCACTCCATGATCTGCACAGAAACGCCATGGTCTCCGTCTTCTTGCGCGTCCTCGAGTACTACACCGGTATCCTCTTCCTCACCACCAACCGCGTCACCACCTTCGACGAAGCATTCAAGTCAAGGATCCACATACCTATCAGGTACACGGACCTGAGCTTCGAATCCAAGCTTCAAATCTGGAAGAACTTCTGCGGGATGGTGCCCGGAGGTGTGGACATTGATGAGCGGGGATTGGAGAGGTTGGCGGAACACGATTTGAATGGGCGGCAGATCAAGAATGCGGTCAAGGCTGCTGAGTCGCTGGCGAGCTTTGACGGTGTCAAGCTTGACCTGGCTAGGCTGCTGCAGGTTACCAAGATCCAGTCTGTGTTTGAAAAGGACCTTAGTAGTGTCGCAGGCGTGGATTACACGGCGCCAGGAGGGAGGGTAAGGGATGCGGATAGGAGGAACATGTTCTTGTGAGCACGTTGTTGTCTCTTGGGCGTCCTTTCTTTCTGGTGTTGTGTCTTTCTGGGCCTTTGTTTCTGACAGTCGGTGGCCTTTTCCTTTGGTTTGTTGCGTCTGTCCTGACAGCTCGTGGGTTATGTCTTGATCATCTTTGAGGTTCCATTGGCCAGGTAGGTAGGTATGGTGTAGGCGTTAGGGAGCATGTGTGACTACAAGCGATATCTGTAGATGATAGAACTACACAGCGTATAACATACATCTTCAAAAGTTTTTTTTGACTTTCTTTGATAATTGCCACGTTGAAAACTGAGAGTTGAACATGCCTGCATTGGTTCCTAGTGAGCTTTCAGGTTGCCTCCAACGGGCCTTGCTCGGGCAAGGAGTTCAAGCCTTGCTCGATCTCAAGGCGGTATGGGAGTTGTCCACATGTTCCTCTATAGACGATAGCCACGAAGAACAGAACAACTCGAACGTAGCAGACAATCATCTCCACAAACCTTCGCCTCCTGAACTATGGTTCCTGTATCAGCACATCCCCGTCTGAGAAATTGGGCCTGGAGACCCGCGAAGACTCAAGAGCTTGAAGAGCAGGTCATGGTCTCGCCTACCAGATACGATCAGGCTCAAATGTGTGCGACGAAGATTAGAGTATGAATGAATGGGTATCAATATCATATGTTCTGTCGTCTGTATGTGTATGTAGGTAGGCTCCGTGCCCTATCCAGAATCCCAGGTAATATGTACAAAACGAATGTCCAAAGCCAGAAACACCAAGCCAAGTCCTGTTGATCCTGTTCAGCCGGTCAATGATAACAACCTGACCTTGCCGCGCTTATAGGTAACTGAAGCCAACCCATCCAAGCCCCAGTGTCATAATAAAAAATTATGTGCAGTTTACCGGCCCATGTATGTATGTCCAGCTCCAATGTCATTCCTGCAGGTGGCTCAGCCTCGGATGCTCGAGCAACCTCACCTCAACTCGAGACCACACTTCTCGACCACGAATCGAATCGGCTTCCTCGTCCGATGGTTCGTCACCCCTCTCGGCGGGATGATCGGCCTCATCACTGGTCCCGGTCCCAACACCTTGCTTTGTCTCAGTCCGCCATTTCCCCTCGGTCTCTGCACACCACCACCAACCCCTCCAGCTCCCATCTTACCCCCTTGTGCCTTGCTCTCTATCACCCTCAAAGAATCATCACCACCCTTCTTCGCAACGCGCTCATCAAATCCCCACCTCCCCACTCCTCCACCAACCAACCACCCCCCAAGATTCCTACACTGGCTAACATCCACCCACTCCAGTCTTCCACACCCCTCCAGGACGTTCTCCACGCCCACCCCCGTCACTCGTACGCACCCGCGCACGCTCAGCCCACGAAGCTCGTTCAAATGCAGCGCTATGCAGCCCAGACTCGCGTCGGAGACGGCGCTGCCGCAGAACGCCATCCTTAGTTCTCTTAGACCCGGCAGACCCAGCGCAATAACCTCGGTGGCGGTATCGGACAACGCGCAGCAGAAGGAGAGATCGAGATGGGTTAGGGACTTGCACGAGTTCACTAGGGCAATTATGGAAGTGTCGGTTAGGTAGGTGCAATCTGCTAGACAGAGGCTCGTGAGATTAGGGAAGCGGTGCGGAGACCAGGATTGGAAGCCTTGATCGGTAATGCTCGTGCAGCGTGTTAGGGAGAGAGATTGGAGTCGGGAGGAGGCGTGTAGAGCGAGGTGGTGCATGGAGCGGTCGGTGATGTGTTTGCAGTAGGAGAGGTTGAGGCGGGCGAGGGAGGGGCAGCCTATGACAGTACCGGGCGGGGGCTGGGCGGTAGCGGTGGCTGAGCCGTTGGCGGTGGGCTTTAGACGACGGCTGCGAGAGTTGGAAGAGGCGATGACCACCTTACCGTTCTCAGATGAACGGGAGGGGGGAGGCTCGGGGACCACCCACCCTACTACCCGCGCAAGCAAGTTGTCGCCTACTTTGCGGCAGTTGGACCAGTCGACTTCCTCGAGACCTTTGGCGTTTTCGGACATTTCGAGAATTTGCGACGCGGAAACATCCCAGACACTGCGCATCTTCCAGACTTTGATGTTCTTGCCGCATTGTTTCCACAGGGCTTGGAAACCTTCGTCCGTGATGTGGAAGCAGTTGCTGATGTCAACCTCGACAGGCCGTAGACCAATGAAGGGGGCGAAAATGTGAACAAGGGACCAGTCGGTTACTTTGCGGTTGATCAGACTGAGGTCAACATGGGTACAGAGGTTCGGGCTGGTGGTGAGCAGGCGACGCCAGTCTCGGCAAACGATTCGTAGTCTGATCATCTCGAGGAGATCCAGGTGCTGGAAGATGCAGACCAGGATGTCATCCGGCAGGGAAAGCTTCTTGGCTTGGTCTTCTATTGTAGATGGTCTCCAAGGTAAAGTTCGTGCGCGTTTGCTCGGAATCGGGGAGCCGTCAGACACGGAATGTCGCAGCGGGCTGCTCTCGGGAGTAATAGCCTTCATGCCGTTGACAATGGCAGAAGCATCAGTCTGAGGAGTTGGCGGGGCGATCGAGTTCCTACGACGATTGCGAATGTTCTCCATGTCCACGCTAAGGTACGGGTCAGGATCCGAAGGCTGGTGTGTCTTGTCTGTTGCCGGCGAGGTTGGCTTCGAAGGTGTGGTAAAGGTAATTTCGGGCTCGGCATCCACCATCTCCACATCTTCATCCGTTCCCTTGATGCGCCTCCGAGCCGTCTCTTCCACCTGGGACCGAATTTCGGGTGGACAGCGCCTCCAGAGCTCTTCAAGCGCATCCCCGCCAATCATCAGACATTCAACTGCAGTAATGGACCGGACAGTGGCAGTTCTCCCTTCGGACAATCCCAGGCTGGCCACCTCACCGAAGTATTGTCCCTGTTTTAAACGGGGTCGCGACAACGTCTTTTCAGATTCATCAACGACCTCAGCTTCACCCCGGACGATGAAAAAGATGTCGTTACCGGGACTGCCTTGACGGACAATGTCGGTAAAAGGTGAGTAGGACTTTGGCTGTGCGCTCAAGCCCAGGAAGTGCAGAATGTCGGGAGGCAGCGTCGAGAACAGCGGAAGCTCTTTAAGCGTCTTTCGCACATTGACGTAACCGCTTCCCAGGGCGCTACCACTAATCGTCGGATCGTCAATAACACCAGGACTGGGTGACTTGCGCTTCTTGCTTTTGACCACGGCGCCCTCCTTGATGCTTCCCGACTCTCCGGTACTAACTTCGCCAGGCGCTGCTTCTCGGGCTAGCTTATGGCTCGACAGTTTGCTCATCTGCCCGCCTTCCTGCCGCTTTTTCTTCAAGATGGTCAACCTTTCCTGTGCTTCCTGGCGAATAGCCTTTTCCATCTCAGGGTACTTGGGCAGTTCGGCTTGTAGGTCCTCCTTCTTGAGAACGACCAGCAGGCATTTCGTCCTCGCAATGATAGTCGCAGTTCGTGGAACGTCCATGAGCACACCAATCTCGCCAAAGAAGGCACCGGGTGTGAGTTCCGCATAGACAGCCTCGCCGTCGCGGGATGTGACGGCAACCACGCCTCGAACCAGCCAGTACATGGCTTTTGCTTCGTCGCCTTCTGTGAGGATGTGGTCTTGGGCGGAATGGACTTGAGGTTTTAGGCGGGTGCCAATCGCAACGAGGAAGCCTTCGGGGGCGGACATGAAGAGGGGAAACGATCGGATTCGGTCAACCAGGTCTAGAGGCATGTCGGGGATGGTCGAGGCCGTCAGAGGAGAGGGGCGAATCGGTCGAGTGGGATTAGTCTCGACATTGAAGGACCTGATGAGGGCGCCCGAGTCTTGTGGTGGTTGAGGTCCCCCATGGTGCGCCAGAACCCGGTAGGGCGATGGAGGCGGTGTTCGACTCCGGCGCATGTTTGGTGATGCTTTGGAGGTTATATCGTCGGGTCGGTTATGGACGCAACAAACGGTCGGTCATGCCAGTCGCGAGTGTGCTATCGGGCACAGGCAAGTGCGGATTGTGATGTGTGTGCTATGGTGTACAGAGGTATGTCGAGATCGTTCGCCAAAGTCCGTTTGCGGCTTCGTGGCGGGGTGGATCAGTTGGGACAGCTCAACTGCGACGGAGCATTGCGTCAGGTTGATGGAAGCTGTCGTCTGTAGGGGTCTGGGGAGGAGGTTTAGTCAATGTCAATCCTCTCTGGTCGTAATTTCTGCGCATTACCCACAGAGATAGGTACCGCTAGAGGTTGATGGAGCTATGGCAGCTCTTGAAACAATCGTGTACGACGGTTGGATGTGAAGAGAGGTCACAAGCAGTGGTGGGAACCTGGTTGGCGATGTGGCCGCGGCCGGGGGACTTGGGCCCTTGTAGCGATGGCAATTGTGGGGTATATCAATCGCAATGGCCGGCGCTTTGACGTCGGGTGTTGGAGCTATGGCGCCGGTGTCGAATCGTGATGCGCTACCGTGCCAAGGTGCTTGTAGCTCAAGTAGGAGAGGTAGCTGATGGTGAATAGTACCTAGGTAGACAACGACGAAGAAGAGAAAAAGAAATGAAGTGATTGTTCTCTCGTCCCCATCTTGGTTGCTGCGCCCGTCGGCAGGTCCAGATGAAGATGGCAAGCGGCACTGTCTCCCGCAACCGTTCGGCAGCGTCGTTTTGGTTTAGTGCCGAATACAGTGCGTGGTACCCCGTAACCGCCGGCACCCAATCCGTCCAGTTTCAGCGACTGCGACGATGTTTATCTCGACGACCACAACAGCAAGAAGTGCAGGAATCACAAGAACGTTTCAGGCATCTGTCAGGATGCATGGAAGCTGGTTTCCAGAAGGAGGGGAGGTAAGACGCAAGAAGAGGTGAGCTTCCCACCTAGCTGACGGCGATGATGTAGCTGTTGGTCCCCTTCTTTGTCCTCGTTTCAAGCTGACAGCTACGTATCTCGAACCACTCCAGGCTCTGGAATCATTCGCTGACAGCCATTGGAAGGATCAGAACAGGGCTTCTCGAAGGGTGACGCGCTGTGCTGTGTTGTTGTCACACCCCACATCCAATACTACCACCGTTATCGACGACGACGAGGACGCCAACAGCACCGTCTTTTCCCGACTTCCCGCCGATATCGATTCCATTCCTCACCGCTGTGCTACTACAAGCTTTCTGTCGATGGTCACAAGGGCCGGAAGCGGATTGCTAGCCGACCAGCGTACCTCTGCTGTCGACTGATGAGCATCACGATATCCACCTCGATGACTTCATGCCGTGGAGTACTGCACGACAGCAGCATCCTTGTGGTTCGCTGTCCTGCCGTTCAACCTCGAGACATCACAAGAGTCATTCAGCCGCTTCAACGACTACATAGCGTCGGACAACCCGATATAACGAGCGACAAGAAAGAGATGGCGCTGTATAGGCTACACCCATGAAGACCCTGAAGACCCTGAAGAAGAGCACCCCGGGACCCGGACTGGTTGCCGCCACAGCCCTGCAGAATCCCTTTTCCAGAACAATTCTAGCTTCTGGACCGTGCACAGAGTCGTCAACGGTCAAATTCTGGGCAAACAACATCACAACAACATCAGCAAAAAGGGACACCAGCCTGGATATCCACGCGAACCATGGCTGCGGATGTCTTTTGTTGTTCCGCGAAGAACATGGCAATCTCCAAAGACAAACAATCATCTGTACCGGATCAAGTGCCGGTTGGATGACAACACGCGGGATCTCCGTAGGCCGTAATAGGAGGTCCCCACGTTTTTGATCCCATGTTTCCACGTTCATCACACTTGGACTGTCAATGCTGTCGGTAGCCGTCCGGTAAGCTTCGATTCCTCGCCCTATCTACCAGCTCATCATCTCCGAAAGTGCATAACTAACACTATCGTAGACAGAAAGTGGATGGCTGTGCACAAGCTCCCTCGTGTATAAGGTGCCTTTGCATATCAAGACTTCGGTCTTGCTCGGCGTTCGCTTGACATAGGCTTGAGCGAAGCTCTCTGACCATGGAGATTACGACCCTGTTGCGGTTGTTTTTGAGTCTACTGTTCATGTTGTGTCGTCGATGATCCTGACGATCTGGATAAGTGGGCACGAAATGACCGGTGCTGGACGGAATCTCAAAACGGTGGATTGCGTCTGAAGTTTGAGTGCTCCCACAAGCCCGCTCAGGCTCCATCAAAGCCTTTCAAGCCTCTGAAGCCACTGGTACGGAAATTGACTTGGTGGTGGGCAATGATACGGGATTTCCTGGACCGGACCGGGTTAATCGTTCAGCAACAACCATCCATGCTAAACCAACTTCCGCTCACATGTCTCCTTCCGGTAGTCCTCATCATCTTGGGCAGAACACTTTGGATACTGCACAAGCATCTCAAGGCGATCAAGAGCCAGGATGATCCTATCCCTTTACCGTCGGATCTATATCTGCTCATCGGTGTACTAGTCAAGGCAAGTCTGACTTCATTCCCACCCAGCTTTTGGTTGCTAACAAGTCTATCTACGAATGCGTTGACCGCGATCTCCGTGCCGTGTGTCCTTTTCTTCCCCGAAATCATATACACACATCGTCTGCTCCAGCTCCAGGAGCTTCAAGTGCAGGGGCAAGCTCAGCGAATGGTACACCCACGTCTACAGACCAAAACCTGGAAGAACACAACGCAACCCCTCCCCTCATCATCATCCACACCGCATGGATGTCCGGCCGCAGTACATTGGTATGCCTGTCTTTTGCAACCGCTGCTTTGGAATTTTGGGATCTCTTCCTCGGTACGCTGCAAGTGAGCGCGAGTAACTATGGAAGCACGACGTGGCAGGCGGACCTTGCGGGGTTGCTGATTGTGATGCTGATGGAGATGGTGACGGTTGTAGGATTGGTTGCGGTTTTGTGGATGGGAATAAGTAGAAAACGGAAAGGGAAGCGAAACCTGCGAATGAAGCCGGCGACGAATCTGCAGAGGATGGTTTTGACGATTTGGGTTGATAGGATGAACATGTTACGATCCAATAAGGGATCACTTATGTAAGCAGCTAGATAGACCAATCAGGAGCGCGCCGCAGAGCCGCAACCGTAATAGCGGCGCAGCGGCGCCCTTCTGAAGGTCGGTATATAAGACGGCCTCCCCAGGCCTCTTATATTACGGCTCTTCAGCAAGCAATAGCTTTCACAATCGATCAGTACCTTTTGGCTACTACTACCGTTGTTCTTATTCCCAGCGATATACTCCTGTGCTTGTAACGGTTCGTCACAGAACACAGGAGGGACTGGGCCGGGAGGTGTTCCATAGTAGTCGTTCATGGCGTCTTGACGCATCAACACAACGGAAACTCTCATTGACCCCAGCCTGAGATCTTCTTGGTAGGTAAGCAGTTCTAGCAGGCTCCAGTGCCGGCCTGTATCCCTTGATCGTCCAATTCGTGTGGATATGAGCCGGGCTGATGCTCTTGTACAAAGGGGCATGCAACTCAGTCTTAAAGCCGGTGCTCCCCGCCGCGTGTTGAGAGCGAAACATACAATGTACCGCAAACTCTGGACGACGAGTCAGTTGTTAATGCCATCATATCCTCTAGCAGTGAGTGGCTTACAAGGAAGTGGCGATAAGCCTGGGAATAAGTCCAAATCTTGCCCGTTCAATTGCCTCTACCAACTTCCATCCCACGTGGACGAAGATGATCCTGGTAATTACCGTATCGGTGGTGTCGTCTTGTTCTGGCACGGCCGGCGAGGGAGAGAAAGATCTGGAAGATTTCCCGTCCAACCGGCAAGACATGAAGGCATGGTAAACTCCCGCTATCAAGAGAACGTGGGGAGTGATGATGAGGAGGAGCACGGGGTCAGACATGTCGTCCATAGCTTCTTCGGTGCTGCTACGCCTGGCTGGGAAAGATTGACGATGACATTATCATCATGGAGAAAGCGGTGGGATGGGGGATAGCAGCCATATATCCTAGATTTGCGACCATTGCCCGCCAGCCGAAAGCATAGGGTGCATCATGTTCATCTGGCGTCAAGCATTTCTTGCGCCTTGCTCTTGCTGCATCGGCACGCATCCATTGCTTCGGGTCTCATTGGGGACGGCAAATAGGTGCTTGGTATCCCTTTGTCGTCAAGAATCTGTCAGGACGTTCATAAGCAGTCAACTCAGATTAATGTCGCGGGACCACAGCGAGAAATATCGTGAGGAAGAGCCGACGGATCTCGACGATGTCAAAGACGTTGTCACTTGTCAGTTGTCAAGTCATCCAAAGGCAAAGGCAGGTACAGAGGTAGAAGAGGGCAGTTCCTTCGAGCAGGGTTAGGGTCTGTAAAAGCCGACAGCCGGCGCCTAACTCCGACAAGGACGGGAGCGAACGCGCGGGGCTGCTCGAAGCTTCTCCTCCAGCCCCAGCACTGACCACTGTGACGCACATTACCTAAGCACAGGCACTGCACGTCATCCATCTTTTGCCTTTCTTCGGCGCCGATATAGATTGGCATCGGTTCCGTTTCCAACCACCGAAGCACCTACAGCAACACCTTCATCACATCTCGACATCGACGGCCACGTTTCTTCAGCATCGAGTCGCACCCACGATAATGTCTTTTACCCTCACCATCCGCGCTGGGCCTGCGCGCCTGGCTTCGCGGATTCCCGAGTTCGCAAAGACATCGAGCGGTCCTGCCGCCGCCATCCGGGCGTTCCACAAGTCTGCGCCCAAGACCACCAACTTCTTCACCTCGAGGACGACGACTCCCTCGCTCATCGCCCAGAAGCCCGCCACCAACAGCCTCCTCGCTCGTCTCCAGGGCGCCCGCCGCGGTTACCAGTACCAGTCTCACTCTCAGCCCCAGCAGGACAATGGCCTGTTGATGCGCAAGCTCCTCGTCGGCGGCGCCATGGTCGGCGGCACCTGGGTTACTCTGCAGTTCATGTTCAACCGGGAGACTCGCGCGGACGGCGGCATGCCCGCGTACGAGAGCTCGTACCTCAACAAGACCTTCATGCACACTGGACTCGGCATCGGCATCATCGGTCTGTCGGCCTACCAGATGCTCCAGACTGGCTTCACCTATCGTCTCATGGCTACGAACCCTTGGGTTGTCGCTATCGGTGGTCTCGCTCTCTCTTTCGGTTCCATGCTTGCTACTCGCGCTATTGACCCTGAAAAGTAGGTCTTTTGTGTTCCTGTTTGTCTGTGTTGTCGCATTCGCTAACACGTTCTTCACAGCTACATTCCCAAGTATGCCTGCTGGGCCGTCTTCAACGCCACCCAGGCCGCCTTTGTCGCTCCTCTCCTCGCCATGGCTCCTCCCGCTCTCCTCGCTCGCGCCGGTCTCTACACCCTCGCTATGATGGGCGCCATCTCGTTCGTCGGTGCCACCGCTAAGCAGGAGAAGTACCTCTACATAGGCGGTCCTCTTCTCGCTGGTGCTGCCATTGTCGCCGTTTCTGGTTTCGCTCCTCTGGTCCTCCCCGCCACCGCCGTCCGCACCCTCGCCTTCACCGAGAACCTCTGGCTCTATGGTGGTCTTGCCGTCTTCGGTGGCTTTACCCTCTATGATGTCCAGAAGGTACTCTACCATGCTCGTCTCGCCCAGGCTGGCGTCATCAAGGAGGATCCCGTCAACGAGTCCATCTCGCTTGAGCTCGACTTCCTCAACATCTTTGTTCGCATGGTTCAGATTCTCATGATGCAGCAGAACCGCAGGAAGTAAGGGGTGTTCGTAGGATGAGTTGAACAAGAAAGCGTTGAACAAGATACCAGATCGTTTGCTTTTGAAGTTTTTGGTTAGCACTCTGCTCAGTGTTTATTGTCGACGGAGGAGTCACGCAAGAAGAAGCTGTTGGTCTGATTCAGTTCAAGCAGTTGTTTGTATTCCACTTGTATATCTAGATATCTCAAGAAACTCCCAATAAAAAACGACAAAACCCAAGATCTTCCTTCCGTCCCAAACGCCGTCTGATGCAATGTTGTCGCTTGTATGTTAAATCCGTCCATGCCGTGTATGCTGTCCGGGATCCCGCTGTGTTGAATTACCATCCCATCATCTCTCATCCGGATCCTGCCCGAATGTCATCCCCAGGTTGAGCTTGGCGCATTTCTGCTACCCAAAACTCGGTTCTATGCGCGCTGGGCGCGGCACAATTGCTCAAGACCCGAGCGCCTACTTGAGTTCAGGGAACTTGCGCAAGACGTGACTGGGGCACTCATACCCATCGGGGTTGTTCACCAAGTACAGCTGGTGATACTCCTCAGCATCCCACCACTCCTTGGCCGGGAGGATCTCGGTGACGATCTTGCCACCCCACCACTGCTCGTTGGCCTTCTTTGTGATCTCCTCCGCAACCTTCTTCTGCTCATCGTTGTGGTAGAAGATACCGCTGCGATACTGCGCGCCGACATCGGGCCCCTGCATGTTGTGCGTCGTGGGGTCGTGCATCTTGTAGAAGAACTCGAGGAGCTGGGTGTAGGAGAGACGGGTGGGATCGTAGATCAGGAGGGTCGCTTCGGCGTCTTTGGGCTTGTTAGTGACACAGTCGAGAGAACAAGCAGAGGGAGACCGGCATTCCCGGCAGGGGCTGCCGGAGGCATCACCACAAAGAAAAAGACTTACGGCCAGTGTTGCCAGAGCAAACTTGCTTGTAGGAGGGGTTGGAGGCGTCACCGCCAATGTAGCCGACGCGCGCATCGTAAAGACCCTTGTCGGCAAAGTGCTTGCGGTAGAGGTGCTCAACGCCCCAGAAGCAGCCGGCGGCGACGGTGGCCTTCTCGGCGCCCTCGGGGACGTGGACGGGGCTGGAAGGGAAGGTGGTGGTGGACATTTTTAAGGTCTGGGTGTTGAGGGAACGGAAGATGCGACCGAGGAGCGAAGACATATGTTACGTTGTTCGGAATGGGACTGGGGATCGCGAAGCTGATGGATGGAGGTCGGGAGCTTTATGAAGCTTCGTAGGGCTGAGTAATAAGTGGACCGAGGTGGATGACGAAAGATAGAATGGAGATGGCGTCGTCTGCAAATTTTAAATGCGCTCTTTTTGGGGATGTTACGTCGGTTGAGGGGGGTGCCTCCACTACGGCGCTCGAGGTTCCCGACCGACAGTGGAGCGGCAGCCCGCCCGCACCGAGCCCCAGCTCGACGACGAACGCTACGCCGACTGCCACGACGGATGCAGGCCGACCCGCACACACAAGATACCCCGACCACGACGCGATAGATACGTCGCTGCAGAGAGCTATACGTCAGAACAGCCGGGTGGCGGCTAGAAGGCCATTGGCGCCGATCATGTCGATTCAACCACGGCAATGCAAAGCTGTCACAGGCAGGCCGCCAACGGGATTGTACACCTCTGCATGGATGTAAAATATTAGCTCGGTTTTTGCGAGTGGCAAAGAAGCTTAATTTTTGCACAGGAAATGGCTCTCTTGTCGTCTGTCTGCTCCCTGTTTCTTGTAGGATCGCCGTACTAAGCTAACGTTTTATATCCATGTAACACCAGACGTGTACTAAATTAAGGATGCAGAAGCAGAAGAGTACCTGCAGTGTAACCATGCGACTAGCAATGACAATTGGAATGCGTGACAGCTTCCTAAAGCTCTTTCCCAATGCCTAGAGGTATCTCTGAGCTGTTCCATAGATAAATTTATAATATCTTGTTCTCTTTTTTTAATTGAGTTTGTTGTCCATATGCAGCTACCTACAGGTAGCTATGACTGGCACGGAGACAAATCTAGCCCTGATGAGGGCTTACTTAAAGCTGGGAACTAGTCCAGGAATTTGAACGATTAATTAGCTAGCCATACCCAGCTTATTCAATAAAGTTAACTTCCCATAGAAACGAGAGCAGTGCTTCCTTTCCACACCTGGTTATAAGAGAATGGCCGTCGTGAGAGGGAGCCCCATGAGCTGTCTCTGTAACTGCTGTCGCTGTCTGCTGAAGTGCCGACAGTAGAGGAAATGAGCTGTCGTCTATCTCGTTCTGTCGCAATACCTATAGACGTCTGAGTCAGTCTTGCCCATGCATTTTAGGTAATTCGCTATGTGTCCGATATCTTATACGCGGATGTGACACTCCGAGGGCATTCAGAGTAGTCAAAGGGTTAGGGTTAGGGTTAGGGTTAGGGTTAGGGTTAGGGTTAGGGTTAGGGTTAGGGTTAGGGTTAGGGTTAGGGTTAGGGTTAGGGTTAGGGTTAGGGTTAGGGTTAGGGTTAGGGTTAGGGTTAGGGTTAGGGTTAGGGTTAGGGTTAGGGTTAGGGTTAGGGTAGGGTTAGGGTTAGGGTTAG